TTTGCTCGGAGATGTACGGAGCATCCTGTCCGCTCATTGGTCAGTGAATGAAACCTCCGTTGATTGGTCCTCGTCCGAGCGACAGCGATGAAAAGTTGAAAATGTTTCAACTTTCTGGTATCGTGTCGCTGGGTCGCCTGTGCACGACACGTGCATGAGCGCAAAATGTCACACGCACGTTTTTCGCGTTTCGCTTGGTAGGAGAGAGACCCGCGATTATCGCTTTGTCTCGCATATCTCATTGAAAATGAATGGAGGAGAGGCGATGTCGCCTCCCGTGTGTCGAGCCCATTAGGCTTTCTACAGAAATGAACTAAAACAGGTCTTAACTGTTGCATCAAATACAAATATTTTTACGCCTAAATTTTATCCTAACCCTAACCCTAAAAGCTGCATTTCAAACTGATTATTGGGTATACAAAAAAAACAGAATTTCACTATGATGTTCTGTCAGGACTCCACATGTGACTTTGTATTTGTCAATGGGATAGCGTGCACAGCTGCATGCCAGGCAGGAGGTCTCCTTGTGAGCATTAATTGTGACTTAGCAGCTTAAGGAAGTCACACTTCCCGGGGTTATCTCCATGTGCTCTGGCAGGACAGTGAAAGCCACCAGTCTTGATGTCAGGAAGTCATTTGTGTCATCAACTCACACTTGGTGCTGACACATGGGTGCAAGGTGGGAGGTTTTAGTGATTCCTACAGCATAGGTTGGTTGGAATGCGTTCATCAAGGGTGATATTAATGTTTCTATAAAGAGAATTCATGTTAAATCTATACATTGGTCTTTTGTGAATGGTGTTTGGGGGTTTGTTTCACTTTGTTGTAGATTTTGCTCACATGAAATGGCTTATTATGCTTTCTGGCCACCCATAGGGAGAATCAGGTGGGGGGTGCACACCAAAAACCAACAGTAACCTCTGACGTAACAAGTCAAAAGGGTTACACTTCTGTTCAGCTCAGGTCACGGAACGGTGTTTCACCGGCCCAAAAGGTTTCGTTAACCAACAATCCAAACATCAACTAAGCTTAAAGAAATACAGTCAAGAGTCATACTTTAGCGTATTTTGGCTGGAGAGGACATTTATATTCAGTTTTGGTTTTTTTTTCCATCACCCTCCTTGCTTTAGTTAGGGGTAATACGGAGTTTGACCTTTTGTTTTCCTGGAACGGTAACCCTGAGATATCTGGGAGTAGTCTTACTAAAATCAGTGCTGATTATCTGCAGAAGATCTCTGGAGAAGTTGGGATGTAAACCAGCCTTCTGCGTAAGAGACAGCCACTAATACTGTCTTGTGTTGGTTGGTGGTGGAGGATCAAAGGGTGGGGGATTATGGAAAGACGCATGAAGAAGTGTGACTTATAAATGACCGCATTCAACAAGAAGCAGCTTCACCGTTTGAAGATGTGATCTTGGGTTGGAGGGTAATGATAGGCTGCCTGCTATTGAAGAAAACTGAAGTGGTTTCAGCTGTCACATGTCCTGACTTAAGTTATGTCAACCTGTTGCTACACTTAGTTCTGAGCTTTCTCAAGTGCCATTTCACATGACATCCTTTTTTCTTGCAAAATATTATTTTGCCTGAACATTTTGGAATTGCATCTCTTTATTTCTAACTTAAAACTCATCCACATGTTTCCCACTCATAGCGTCACACCGGCAGCCTGCAGGGAAAATGGCTTCTGCCATCGACACGAGTGGGAAATACACACACTCAGACAAAACTGCTTTTATTTGGACCCACATGAACTCTGTTAGACTTCATTGCCTCACCATTGTGCCCAGTGTACACATCTGGTTTTTGCTCCAGATCAGCAAGTACAAAGGGGAGGAAGGATGAGAGAGAAGAAGGAAAAATAGTTGAATTTTTTGGCTTTGCTTGTGTCTGCAAGGTGTTTAAGAAATGGCTTGTCAAACTGGAAAGATTTCAGAAGCATTTGATAATTTATCGAAGAGGAGTTTACATAAAATTCATCCGTATCTTGTTGTTTTAACATATCAAATCAAATAACCTTTTGTTGGAGGTTCACTATATGTTTCGAATGTACAGATCAATCATCTTCATAGTGATATTAGGTTTAAAAGTTATGAGCATTAAAATATGAAAGCAGTAACTAACTACGGGGGAAGGTAGTCACCAGAGTTCAGCATCTTGACAGCTTGTTGGATGAAGCTGATGGTTCCCTGAGTGTAATGGGTGGGAGGAGTCATCAGCAAGGCTGAGGTGTGTGTGGAAGAGGTGGGTGTCATTGAGGGAGGGCGGCGGGGCTCTGGTGATCTTACTGGGGGGCATCTTGTGTCCGTTGCAGGGGCTTTCAACTCAAGGCAGTGCAGCCTCCGTACCAAACAGAGGTGCAGCAGGTGAGGATGCTCTCGATTGTCCTCCAGTAGAATGAGTGCACGATGGGATGTGGGACTTGTGCTTTCCCTAGTTTGCATAGAAAGTAGAGGTCACTCTGAGCTTTCCTAGTCAGTTATGCGGCGTTCATAGTTTCAGAGTTACTGAAGGTGCTATAATTTCATTTAAAGTTTGTTGTTTGTGTTAAATCAGAAAATAATGAATTATTTTGACATGGAGTTTTAGGTTCTTTTTTTAACACAGGAAAGATTTTTTACCTTGCTGACAGTTTCAATCACTCCTGCGATCTTCATCAGAGCTAGCCGCTAATGGAACGTCACTTCCTTCTCCGTTCATCCGCGGGCAGCAGAGGACGGTGTCGCCCTCTGCTGCCGGTTCTCTCCTCACAGATGACACAGTTCCATGCATGATCATGGAATAAACGGAGCAGGAAGTGACGCCGCCAATAGAGGCTAGCTCTGATGAAGATCGCAGGAGTGATTGAAACTGTCAGCGAGATAAAATAAAACTTTTCTGTGTTAACCCTCTGGAGGCAGGCGTTGCAGATTTGCAATGTTAAAACCTACCTACCTGGTTACTCCACACACGTGTTTCATGAGCATTTTTTAACTCAGAAGTACCCCTGAAGGACTTAGTTGTTCGTCCTTTCATCAAAACATATTTTGAGCCTGAGAGGGTTAAAAAAAGAACCTAAAAATGCCTTCAGAAGAAAAACACAGAATGAATCTACAAAAGAAAATTGTTTTGATAGTTTTTAACTCATTCGCTGCCAGCCATTTCCTGATCGGTGAAGCTGCCAGCGTTTCTCACCGTTTTTACTGTTTTTTAAGAGTCACAGAACGTTGCGTACTAGGATGATGTCGACGCCAAAACAACCAAAACAAAGCGGAGACTCACCTCTTACATCAGGAAGAATCCACGCGTTTCGAGCTTTATCCGTTGTTGAATTGTGATCGGCAGAAGCTTTTCCGGTTCATGCCTCACTTTTTTTACAGCAGCGGCCCAAAACGATCTCCTAACACATGGATTTTCTGCTTGCTGATCACGTGACGTGTGACGTATGTGGATGAAGATCGGCTTTAGAGCTGAGATGTTTGTTCTCACGGTGCGGGGGCTCGTTCTGATGCCCACACAGTAAAATAAGGCAAATGACGACTTTAGTCGTCATTGGCAGTGAATGAGTTAAAAGTATTAGTGGATAAAATGAAATAAAATAGTATTTTTATTAACTTGTTTCATTCTTTTGTCTTTGCTTTAATACACATTGACGCTGCTTCTGTAGTCTCTAAAATGTAAATAACTGAGAACAGCTGTAGGTGTTTATAAATGTCCCCCCATTCCCACCCCACATCACATAAACTAAGTCATGACAGTGATCACGAAGAACAACTTTGTGTTGATCTGTTGTAATGATTTAAATGAAGTGTAACAAAACTAAACCATTAAATACTACTGACTGATGTGATTAGCACTTAGGGGTTCAAGTGGTTTTCTTGTCCCTTTCCCTGCTAGTCAGAAGAGTCATTTTGTTAGAATGCCTTTCAAACGAAAAGCCTTTTTTCCAGATTACAAAACCTATTCTGTAAAAATATTCTGTTTGTGCAAAGAAAGCAGGAGGAATACTGTAGGAGAACTGTAAACCAACAACACGATGTGATGTTTCTGCCCGTGGAAGTGAGGAAGAGTTTCATGTCTGGGGTTTTGGAGGAAGAAGCTTGTGTCTGGTCTAACCGGTCTGACCTGTCTGTGTGTTTGGCACAGTTTGAGTTGTAACACACACACACACACACACACACACACACACACACACACACACACACACACACACACACGTATTTATATGTGTGGACCTCCATTGACTTCCATTCATTTAAGTGACTCCTCTATGCCGAACCCATACCTCATCAGTGGGGTTCTATTACTAACCCTAACCCTCTAAAACCAAGTATTAGGGTTCTCCATGTTGGGGGGACCAGCAAAATATCCCCACATCATGGAAATGTCCACACTTCACAAGTTAAAGTCAACATTTGTCCACTTAAACATGTAAAGACAAGTACGTACACACACAAGCTTCAGTCAGAAACTAACCTGTCCGTGCACAGCACTGCCTGATTATGTTTCCTTTTTACGTTTGGCATTACATATCATAAAGTTTATTTCTGCTTCCCTTGTTTCTAAAGGTTCTCTAATGAACCTTTGGTAACACCAGTTAATAAAAATGCCCAAACAATAATTATAACATCTAACTCATTATAAACATATCTGAATTGTATTCACGCATTTACAAAAGCTTTTATGTCTTTATTGTTTATTAATGTCATATGACTGAAGTTTGTTTAGGTAATTTTTAACCATTTAAAATAATTAAGTGAAGAAAACATTGAAGATATTTGTCACTTTTCCACCAACATAGTGTTCTTTACATTAGAATAGGCTAGGCCAACTCTTTTAATGTAGTAAGTTTTATGTTTTAGGGAAAATGAGATTAGCACCAATGCAGTCTTTATTTGTTCCCTGAGTTTGAGGTATGTAATCTTTAAAAATGTTGAAAATGATTTTACATAATTGTCTCCAAAGCGTATTATCATGTCTGCTCTGTTTCTTCTACCTCCCATTGATCCCCATCCTCCTCCCCAGATCATGGAGAGCCCCTGTCCCTGTTAGGGGTATCACTTCATACACAGCCAGAACGTGGGCAGCAGGAGGAGGGTGCATCATCTAGTTCTGCTTGTAGTCATGTGTGAAGCTGCGATCTGATGCCCACCCTTACCTCAGCTCTGGCCATGGACGGGGAGAACTACCTGCATCCAGAAGGCCCTCAGCTGGACAGCAGCTTGTTCTCAAACATGGGTTCCTCAAACATGGAGGTAAACCAGGATGCTGATGATGCTTAATACTTTGGTTCACACTGTTATTGTTTGTGAGCATTATATTCAAGCAACAATTTTTTCTGCGAGATAAAGATCTTGAAGTTGCAGTGTGTAAGAATAAAGTAAAATTTCTACAGTGAAATAATCCCAAAACAGACGAATGTTTCAATCATGTTGGATTAAAGGTTACATATTTTATTCTCAGCAGGCTGGGGGGGTTGCCAGTTTTTCTCCTTTCAAATTAAAGTAAGGAGGGATGTAGCTACAGTTTACCATCAGTGAGTGTGAGGTTGCCTTGTCTCCTGTGAGTTAACACTGCAGCTCTGACATTTGTAATTTGACTACGGCCAGCAAAAAGCACCAGAGTTGTTTGAAGAACCAAAGCCAGTAACAAGATCGATCTAAAAGTTATTTCTTGTACCCCTAAGAAGCCACGGCATCTTTTTGTTTTACTCTATTATTGGGTGAAGCAGGCTAGAGGCTAACGTTGAGCTAACAATGCTAACGGTGAATTATAAACAAATAGAGCTCTAAAAATATCTCAACCTACTTTTTTAATTACCAACAGCTCAATATTACAGTAAAATGTGTGTGTGAAGTGAATAACGAGTCAAAAGTGGCATTTTACTTTCTTAATGTTCCCACTGTCCTAATGGGTGATCCCGTGAGGAAAGTTGGCCATTGAGCAAGACTGAAAAATGTCCACGTGGCAGGGGTGAGGTGGTGCTCACCCCTGCCACGTGGACCTCAAGGGATAAACCATCAATCCTGCTCATTGGCCAACTTTCCTCGCGGGATCGCACCCATTAGGACAGTGGGAGCGTTAAATTAGTCGTTCAGAGCAATAACGGCAAGCTACCAGCCAGACGGTTAAAAACAACACTTCCTCTATGCTGGAAACATCTTTGCATAATAAGCGTAGTAAGTGCTCCCTACCATAAAACACCTAAGAGTGCTAGCACCAGCTATGACAAAGTATTTATCCACTTATGAACTTCAGTGTATGGCTCGTCATTGCTAGTCATCTAGAATATTCTGGTGCAGATTTGTAACTGGTGACAGGCACGAAACTTACAAAACAAGAGTGAGAGAGTGACTGCAGTAACTACATTTGACCACAGGATGTCGTCTTACTTTTTTTTACACACTGCGCCTTTAAACTTTAACTGTAAGACACTTTATCACTGCTTCATGTGACCTGTGGTAAACAGAAGTCCTAATGGAAAGGAAGTCAACCCATTTGTATCTCCACCTAGACAAAATCAGTACAAAATCCGGCCACCATTTACTGATAACAGTGGTAACACATAAGTAGACAAACATGCTAAAATATGATAAAAACTTATAAAATGGGCAAAAATATTCTGCAACATTATGGTGTAGAACGTCGGGATAAAATTATGATGAAAATACATGTGAAAAGGACAAGAAAAACATTGCATTGAGGTAGGGATGCACTGATGGATCAGCATTTGATCCCAATCGGCCGATAGCGCCCCTATCGGTTTTGATCGGAGTTTTCAAAATAGATCAAAGCAGACCGATCAGGTAGGGTTGTCACGGTAACCGGTGTAGCGGTAAACCCCGGTAAAAAAAAGTTGACAATAATAATAACCGTCTTGTTTTTTAAAACATATATTATCTCGGTGGGTTTACCGTGGCTGCGGTGCAGGCGCGGTGACCCTTACCAGACACCGTATCATCTGCTGAAGTTGCCGGCGGCACATGCACACTTTGTTGTTTACAACCAAAACTTTCTTGAAGCTAAAGCTGAAATAATGGTCAAAGGAGGAGACGGAGACGCTTCAAATCTCACGACACATCTGCGTGACCATCACCCACAACTCTACAGTCAACGCAAGGCAAGCTAACGTTAGCGTTTAGCTAAAATGCGTGATCCGAGGATTTGGGTTGCGGGAGAATGCAACGAGTGGCTATATAAAGCAGCCGCAGCGCCGCTACCTGCATATAAACCGTGTCGCGGACACCCCCGTGTTGAAATGACGCTACGCATTACGGGGCTCCCAGGGGCAGATAAGAGTTTGTCTCTCTCCGAGAATAATTATGAATTTAACAATGATTACTGCCTGATGACATTTTCCCAAATCTGCAAAGCTCACTGGAAGGACACAAACCGAGGACAATATTTTCCTGATATAGGGTTTATTACTCAAGTAAGGGTAAAAAAGTATCTGATTAGAAGGCTACTTGAGTACTGAGTATCATCTGATCTAATATTTTTAAAATGATGACATCAAACAGACAAAAAATAAGAAGTTATGGGCAAATATTGGTATTTTAAAGACTTAAGGGGAAAAATGTAAACAAATAAACAACATTTAGGCAAAATATAGACACAAACTGAGGACAATATTTCCTGACATACAGGGTTTATTTAATTGTGTGAAAATGTAGCATGTTTAAAAAAAATACCGCGATAATACCGAAAACCGTGGTAATTTTGGTCACAATAATCGTGAGGTTAAATTTTCACACCGTGACAACCCTAATACAGACCATTTTAGATTAGGTTACATTTCCTTTATTCCCAGATTATGTAGTTTGTAGCACTCATTATAATGTTGTAGAAAATTTCTGGCCAGTCCACGTGATCGGTATCGGTGATCAGCATTCTTTGATAACGGTATTGGTGATCGGCAGCAAATAACCTGATCGGTGCATCCCTACATTGAGGTAGATGAGGTAAGATGTAAAATTAAGTGCAAAAATAGGTAAAGACGCATTAAGAAGTAATAAAGCAAAAGTATAAGAGGTGCAATTTGTTTGACTGATTTTGCATTTATATCTCTCCCTCCCTCTGTTCATGTGTGTGTGTGTGTGTGTGTGTGTGTGTGTGTGTGTGTGTGTGTGTGTGTGTGTGTGTGTCATACATGAAAGTGAAACCTCATGATGATTGGTTAGTTTAACTAAGCCAACCATGTCTGGACCTGTTTAATCACAAAACTTTCTGTCATCAGACTCAGGTGGCCGTCTAGTTCTGAATAAGAGTTCATATGGACTTCTTATTTATTGATGTCGTTGGTAAAGTGTAGTTGTGCATTATTGTGTTCATAAATAATATGAATAGGACAGTTTTTTTGTTATACATTTTTTATAAATGCACCACTTAGACAAACTGAGGCCATTGTGAGAAATCTCTTATGGGTATAGACATTTTTAATAGTTTTATATATATCCTATTTTTGTAATCACAGACTTTTCTTTTGTGTGTTTAGAGTTCCATATATGTCCCCTCTGGCACCTGGGGGTCCTTCCCTCAGCAGCCTGGCTACAGCATACGCTGCCCTATGCAATCTGGAAACCAGTAAGTGAATATTAACTTGTCTTACTGTAATGTGCACGATCACGAGACACAAATTCTATTCAAGTAGCAGAAAATACTGCAAGTGAAGGGAAGTTTGACCTAAGGGTTTGTGCTGCAGTTATTTTCCATATGGCCAATAAGCAATAAAAAGTAAATGGTCCATAAAAAGCTACGACTTTCAGCTGAGATAGGATTGTATTGGTGAGACAACCGCAGCTTCTGTGTGTACATCTGAAAGTCATAAAACCAAACATATTGATTATAAATCTTCTTTGCTTTAACATTAATGTCTTATCCAATACAGGAACATATATGAAAATATTAAAGTTCTGGCTTTTCTTATCTAGATCCAGTGTTGCCTAAAAACACCAAAATCCATGCTGCCACGTTATAGAGCCTGATACAGTCGTGTCGACATGGCTAATATAAAACTTTCTGTCACCACGCCTCAGGCACGCATTGCAGGGGGTGGTCTTCTTCATAATAACTCTTTCACTTCCTGTTGTGGGCGGCTTGATGTCAGCTGCACTAGATGGGGGTTAAACGTAACGTCCTGCAACTTTGAGCTGATTTTGTGATCTTATCTCTAAATGAGATGAAGTTGTCCTTTCTTGCGTGATGCTTGTATGTGTCGGAGTGTCATTCAGACACTGTGAGACATCTTTGCTTTGTTTTGAAGGTTAGCAGAAAGATAACTGCTTTGCAATCAGGTGTATTTAGGCACTTAGTACAAATGATGGTACTTTATAGTGTAACCCATGACTCACCTTTTCCTTACATTTGAGCTTGGTTACTTGTATTTGGATATACACATATATTAAAAATCCTCAACTAAAAGTAACCAAGAGAAAAACTTTGCACAGACCACTACAGCAGCTTTTCCCAAACTTATTTAGCCGTGCAGCCCCTTCTATGTCCCGACCATGTCGACGCACCCCCCAGCCCCCACATCAGAGCATGGCTATATGTGTGTGTGTGTGTGTGTGTGTGTGTGTGTGTGTGTGTGTGTGTGTGTGTGTGTGTGTGTGTGTGTGTGTGTGTGTGTGTGTGTGTGTGTGTGTGTGTGTGTGTGTGTGTGTGTGTGTGTGTGTGTGTCAGACGTCACTCTAAACCAGGGATTCCCTAAGTGTGCCCTGGGGGTGCGCAAGCTGCCGCTAGAGGGTGCGCGAGGTGAAAAGTGTAATGGCTGCAGAGCTCAGAGAAGTCTGTCAAAAGTCACCATTAGCGTAGCCAGAAACTCATTTGTGGGTGGGCCCAATAAAAGTCATTGAAAACAAGTATTTTTGCTTGTGTGTGTGTGTGTGTGTGTGTGTGTGTGTGTGTGTGTGTGTGTGTGTGTGTGTGTGTGTGTCCTCCGCACATGCCCTAGCTCAGGGGTCAGCAATCCGCGGCTCTGGAGCCGCATGCGGCTCTTCCATCCATCTGATGCGGCTCTCTGTGCTTGTAAAATAATGAATGGATATTTAAATAAAATGCTTTATATTTTACTGCATTAATTTTACATCTGTAAGCTAATTCTAAATGTAAAGATTGTCTGCGTAAACCTGAACAGGTCCAACCCGGTTTTACTGTGAGACCGTGTTGATGCGTCACGCTTGTGCGTAATCATATCGGCGCTTTCTGAGCTGAAGAGGATGTGAGATTCTGGGATTCTCCTCAGACGGCTCCTGGATGTGTCGCCACATTGGAGATAGGAACAAGCGCTATTCAGCCAAAGTTTCATAATCAGGGAACATTTTCTAAGTGACAAGTCTCGCTTCAGTCGGAGGAATCTTCCTGCATGCGCTCTGGTTCTGCGACGCACTCCAAGCCCCTCTCCACATCTTCAGCTCGCTGTGGACCTTATGTAGTACACGCTGACAGTGAGCTGTGCTGAGCAGTGTCCAGCTCAGATGTTCAGATGGGAATCTTTTCTTGAGTGATTTAGCTACATCTGCGATGTGCGAAACGAATAAAGTGTCAGTTCGTCTGCTTACGTCGGGGTAATTCTTTCTATTCTTTCTCCGTCACAATAAACTGTCAAATACGGGAACTATCCAGTCAACACAAGCCCTGCTTTTAACTGTTCTGTTTTCTTGTGAAAATTGTTGCAAAGAGATATAATTTAACTTGATTAACACCAGAGCCAGGCTCACTGCACCGTTATCTCCGTCCCTGTAAATGAGGGAAAAACAAAATTGATCGGATGCTTTTCTGACCTTCCCCACCTACAAAGTTTAATTACAACAATCAAACGTGACAGAGCCTGGATTTGTATTCTGAACAGTCTAAACATGTTTTAAAAAGAAACGTATGACAAAAGTGGCACCTGCTCAGTAAAACCAACAACAGGGTGAAAAATATCAAAATATAGTAGGCAGAGACTGGCTACAACTTCTGGATCCATTTTATATCAATCGTTTTATTGATTATCGTCTTATGAAAGATAACTTTGACGTACACGAGCGACCGGTACTGGCTGCTGTCACCAGTTGTGAGCAGCGCTCTGCTGTCTGAGGGTAGGCCCCGCCCACAACGCCGTGGCTGCTGCGGTGTTTTCTTTACTGTGGGAAATGGGTAATAATGGCTCTTTGATGGGAACAGGTTGCCGACCCCTGGTTTAGCGTGACATCTGATATATATATATATATATATATGGCCATGCCCTGATGTGGGGCTGGGGGGTGCGTCAACATGGTCGGCACATAGAAGGGGGTGCGCGGCTAAATAAGTTTGGGAACCACTGCTCTAAACAGTCACTCGACAAGACAGGGTTAAAAAAATATGATCGACCTTTTTCCCCATCACTTTCATTTTTAAATTAGTAATTAATAAACATTCAATACAATTACAATTTCCTTTGATTTAATTTTAAATAAATATTTAGAGTGCCCAGGTAGCACATAAACAATGCAATTTAACGGTTTTCTTAAAGGGACTTTACGGACTTTTGAATTTTTATGCTCGTGATTGCCCCCTCAGGCCAAAAGCGTAACGGCAGCTTCAATAGTAGGCTCGTGCACGAGGCGCGCATGCTGTACATGCACACTCCTTAACGAAAATAACCGCTGAGACAGTCCCATGTGTGTGTGTGTGTGTGTGTGTGTGTGTGTGTGTGTGTGTGTGTGTGTGTGTGTGTGTGGCCCGGAGGACAGAGGACAGGAGAACATGCAGCTAATTAATTAAATAATTTGGTTCTGTACCTTTCTCTTCAGCACAGCCGACGAAGGTTTATGATGGGTCAGTCCTCCTGCATGCTCAGATCATTCCCTTCCCTTGCTTGGAAAATTGTTCCAAAATGAAAGTTGAACCCACATCTTTTTTATCTGTGAATTCAATGCCGTTCAGCGAGTCTCAAATAAAAATGTGGGCATCTTACTGTATAATAATATATCATTAATGTAGAAAAGAAACTCTTAATGAACTATGTTCACACCCAGACTTGAACTCAGGTCTTCTGCATGGGTGTCAGACATCTTACAAGGTGAGCTACACTCTAGTAACATTTACAGTATCTGTAACTTTTATATCCTTGATGACACCTGAAACAATGTCAAACCAAAGAACGGTTCGAAGCGAAAATGGCTATTTTGTTGCTAATTTGCAGGAAATATCTAGAAGAAAGTTCTACAGAAAGTAGCTAAGGGTCCTCAGAAATGTAGCTAGCTTTGTCACTAGGCGTTAGGAACAGCGACAAAGTGGCACCGCCTCACTCTCTGCTGCTAAAGCTATGGATAGCAAATGCTACGGGCTATGGCTGAACGTGAACGCGCATGAAGCAGCCTGCTCGACCCGAGCATCTCTCTTTTTCTGTGATTTTACAGAAAAACAGGCAATCGCAGTAAAAATGCCAGGGCTCATTCTACAGGACCAGGGCATTGCAGGAGAATGTATGAAGAAGACATTTATTATTTCTATACATGTTTTGGCTGTCAGACTTCCATAATGTCCCCTTAAAGTAGGAACGTTTAACCTGTGGTCAGAGGGCTGGGGGTAAACGATTATTTTTAAAACAATTATTCTGACGATAATTTTTTCGAATAGTCGACTATTCTAATGACTATGTAGACGATGAATCTAGCGATTATTTTCTTACTGCACAATTAATCAAAACAAGAACATCTCAAATAAATTCCTCCAAAACGTTGATAAATTGTTACTGTAAGAGAATAAACACTACAGACATTCCATTTTGTATAACACTGCTTTTATTGTTGGTTATGTTCTGGTGACGTGTAGAACTTGGGAGTGCAGGATGCTGCCTGAGAGGTGGTTGGAGACGGAGTGTCCCCATGCTGCTTTGTTTTGGTCACTTATGTGCGTGAGGCGAGTGATGTTACGACTCTTCCTGGGGAGTTTGGCTCGTATGCAAAAAGGAAGGGACAATAACGGGATTTAAAAGTTAAAATGATGATCAGGTTTATTTACAACAACAAAAAACAATAATCTTTCCATCCACAGGTTGGGAATAATAAAACTAATTCTGCCTGTGGGGAATTAAAACAAAAGTACAAATAACTAGGGATGTCCCACTGGGCAAAGATTACAGGGTTCTGGACCAAAATATGGATCTCCAAAGGTCCAAACTCTAAACTGGGTGGTTAAAGCAAACTCAAGGTGATATTTTAAACTAAACCGTAAACCCACAACACTCTAAATGTAATAAAAGGGAGATCTACGCCACAAAAAAGATGAAGTCTAAACCAAAACGTAACAGCTTATCCAAACGCAAGAAGCTGTTAGCGAAAATGCTAACAGTAGTTTTACCAACATTAAGTTCAAGTTACCAAGTTTAAATAAACCAAAAATACCCAGCAGCAAACAGACCAGCATGGAGGAGAGACTGCTACCACCAAAACAGCTCTCCTCATGTCTGAAAGAAGCTCCTTTATGAAGGGAGAACTGCTCCCGGTGATTTTCTACATCTGCGGTAGAGACGGAGCAGCGCATTTCACCCCGGGAAAACAGGAAAGGAACCTAGTAGCGGACGGACATTGTTCCGGGTCTTCGGTATTTGGCGG